AAACAATTTACTGATTGAGCTGGAGGCATTTTGTAAAGAAGGATGGTTAAAAGCTTTGGAGGCCCTAAATGAACTGCAGCTGTAACTCCTGCAAAGAGTCAACAAAGCACAGAGGAAACTGAATAAAACACTCTGCTGGTTTTGTTTGGGTTGTTACCTGGCAAAACAAAAAAGTTTAAAGGGCATGAATACCTTTGAAAACCACATTATCTGAAAGGGAGCCTTTGTTACCTGGTTTCCTGGCTTGACAAGCCGGAGAGCAGCTTCTGCACACAGGTATGCTGCTTTGATGACATCAGCTTTCCGCCCTGTGACAGGGTTTTCCTAAGGAAGACGCAGCAGCCAAGTTCAAAACGGACTAATCAGTACTTCCAAACATAAAACTGCACATGTGATATCAATCCAGGGGTGAGAACACACCTTGGTTGCTCCGACAATGAAGCTGTGAGCCACATTTGAGATGAAGCCATCAACATGCACCCCAAGATCGCTGCGCGCCAAGAAAACAAGACAAAAGGTAAGGAGAGCTTCATTGTCTGTAGTGAACGCAGTACCTTTTACGTCCAGCGGGATGGGCTTAATAATCCCTGGCAGCTTACATTTTTACAAGATCCCCGTCTTTCAGTATGACATCAGGGTCACTTTTCAGAGGGGAGAAGTGACACACGCAGTTGTTAACCGACACGCATGTAGGGAAAGCGATGCCTGAGAAACAGAGGCGGTGGATTAAGCAGGTGAGTCGGACAAACGGGTGACAAAGACGGAAAAGAAAAAAAAAAAAAAAAGAAATTCACCTTTCTTCATGTCTTTTTCCTTCTTGAAGATTTTACCAGTTTCCGCCAAGACGAACTCATCTCCTTTCTGACAGAGGCTGAGGACGGAGACTCCAGCTGCAGCCGCCTCAGCTACCTTCTTCAAAGCCTCTGAAGAACAACAAAAGAACCAACAAGGGAGATGAATGGGAGCATGGAATGGCTAGCGAATATACAGGGATATGCAAAAAAAATACAGGGATATCCAAAAGTAATCAAATCCACTGATCTTCTTAAAGTCATGTTACCTTTTTTTTAATTAGGGTTTGATGCGGTAGAGTGAGTAATGCATTATTGTAAAATAGAATGAAGATTCATGGTTGTTTTCTTTTTAAAGAAGCCAAAAACTTGGATGTAATTTATGAATACTGAGGATTGCCAATCAGGTTAAGGTCTGGACCCTCGACCGGGTCATTCTAACACTTGACTGTTCTTTGATCAGTCCATTAGGATTGTTGTCCTGCCGTAAAGGTTTACAGACTAAAAGGGTTTCAGTCTCAATGGATCTCTATTTACACGCATCTTCCCCTTAAATCTGACTAGCTTCCATGAAACTAATGAAGAAAATGACCCCTACAGCATTATAGTGCCATCACCATGCTCCACGGTGGGGATGATGTGTCCAGGATGTTCTTCATCTGACACCAACTGTTTAACATGCATGCTAAAAATGAACAGACTGATATTTATCCTGTTTCTTTGAGGGAAAAAAAGTAATTTGACTCTTAGAGAAAACTGGTTGCAGTGCATCTTATTTACAAATGTTGGATTGTGATCCTTCAGCTTTTTATTTTATCTTTTCAAAAGAAAATATATAAGATACTCAAAAGTTTTAACTTTAACAAGAAAAAAAGGCATTTACGGAAAATATCTTGGCAAGGCACAACATCACATGTGACGATAGATTAAGTTTAATATTTTAGATACAAACCACCTGCTGCGAGGCTCAGGTTTCTGATTTGATCCTACGCTGAACTTCTGTTTCAGGTTATAAAATTATAGTTGCACTCAACAGATTTCCTGACAGCTGCATTTAAAATGCAAATCAGTACATTAGCTGGTTTATACGACAATAAGCAGAAGGACACAGAATTGTGTGCAAGATCCAGACTGTGGTCCTTACTAGATGCAAACACATAACTAAAATTTGAGTTAAGTTTTATATAAACTGTGTTTAATATATCATTAGCGCTCCTTATCTTTTCATTTGGAGACTTGGACAAGATATATTTTCCCAAAGAACCTTAAAATCAACACTAAATTATGTAAAATTTTAAGTGGACTGTGCCCAGTTCAGAATTTCTGCTGTTACACCAACAAGCTGTTTACAAATGGAAAGAAGATCAAACTGGGAATTTTTCCCAGATTAAAGGAATTACAAACGCTAAGTTTACTTTTCAGAATAAAATTGATTAAATATATTTATATTATGCCATTACATCAGGGAAATTAGAAATACATTTAACTTTAATTACATAAAGGAAAAACTGACTATTTTTATTAGTATAATTGAAACTGCATTTATTAAATTAGTTTAGTTGTGGGTTCACATTTAAATCCCTGCTGCTCCGCTATATTCCATTGATAACTGATAGATTAGCAGTTAGCAGCTAACCAGTTAGCTCAGTCATAAAGCTAACAGCCAAGCTCATAATAGAGCATAATTCAAGCTAATGGAGAACAAAGTGAAATATCCGCGTAGATATTTGCAAACCAAAGTTTTTTCGGTTACGACTATTGTTCTTCTTTTTCCTAATATAACCCAGCCCTGGCTGCATGCTGCGGCACATGGCACAGCTGCTTATCCCGGGTAGCTGACTCTGCTAACTACGGGGACTTATGGACTGATCCGTTTCGTTCCTCTTACGGTTTGCAATCTCTGCTCCCATCTTGTACTTGGTGACCACCAGGTCTTCGGCGATGGTCTGCTCCTGTGTCTCATCGTCTCCAGACATGTTGGCAGTGTGCTGACCGAGAACTCAGACAAACTTTCTCCCGGTGCTTGTCAGTCAGTCAGGCAAGCAGGCAGGCGCAGAAAGGACCACGCTGCTTCCGCGCTGCTGTACACCACGCACCGGTGTTGCGGGGGAAACGGTACCCCGGCCAGGAAAGGCAACATAAAAAATAACCTCTCTTCTTCTTTTCTTTATGGGAATCGCTTGCTGTCGTTAAAAATTAATTAAGCTTAACGGTAGCAACTAGAACTCAGTTCTTGAAATTATTGACATTTATTTCTTGATAAATATGAGTTTTATTTATTTATTTGTTTATTTTCACAAGAAAATAGCAGCATTTAACAGTGTTAACATCAGAAAAAATATTTTTAAGACAACAAAAAATATATTTAAACTGTATGACTTATAGGTATTTTAGACTTTTTCCCCCCAACGAACAAGAAGCTTTTAAAACAGGGGTGCTCTTTTACACACAACACCGGTCTTGTTGTCCCGCTTGGTTTCAGCCGAAAGATGATCCCGCCTGCTGCCAAAGACTCGCTCCTCAGTCAAGATAGTTCACTGCTTGTTTGGCCCGGAAGGTAAAACCCCGTACATCAATGAGGAGTTATGTTGGTTAGAAAACACACACACAAACACACCAAAAAAGAACAAAAAACCCACGGAAGAGGAGTAGAGCCACTGAAAAAAAAGTTAACTGATTTTTACATTTTATTTCAGCTTAAAATGGGGGGGAAAAATTAATTCTGACTTCTTTCTCATAATTCCTACTGACTTTAATCTCAGAATTCTGACTTTTTTTCTCAGAATTCTGACTTTAATCTCAGATTTCTGACTTTTTTCTCAGAATTCTGACTTTAATCTCAGAATTCTAAATTAATTCTGACAGCTAACAAAAATGTTAGTTATCAAGCCATAGCCATGTTTGTTTTAGAGCCTAAACTAGATTGTGTCAAAAAAAAAGAACATAAATGAAATAGCATCACTTTTTACGTGCCCTCTGGCACCTAATTCCGTCATTTTCCCCCAATGTGTTACTGGCCCTCCCAAACAATTCACATCTTTGTCAGTGAAGCTGAGTGGTCCCACATCTCTTCCTTCATGGTGCCCATCTACATTAAGATCCAAAATTCTGAGATTAAAGTCATAGTTCTGAGAAAAAAAGGCAGAATTCTGCTTTTCCCCCCATATTAAATTGAAATAATATCTGAAAATCAGTTAACTTTTTTTTGTTTCTTCAGTGGCCCCAATCCTCTTCCATAAAAACCCAACCCAAATTTGGAATTATCAAAAGTATGAGAGTGTGAGAGTAGAGTAGTGTTTCTAGCTGTAATTTCCGTTTTTTAAGGGACCACAGAACAGAAGAATAACAGCATCACAAAAAAAAAAAAAAAATTAGCTGAGCTACAAAGCCTTTCTTAATACACATGGAGCTGACTTTATTTTCTAAAAATTTTTTTAAATTGAATTGTAAAATACACAAGTCCAATAAATCCTTGTGCTTTTGTCAGCACATGTAGGCTAATCCTAAAAACTTGATTTAGTATGTTGCAAAAACTGATCTAAATAAGTAAATAGTTTTTAAAATAAGTGCGATTGCACTTGATTCAAAAATAAGATGATATGCCAAAGGAATGTGCCTTTTACCTTTATAATTGGATAATTAGATATGTTGTACAATAATATAGTTGTTTTTTAAAAACCTAATTATCTGATTCTATGGGCAAATTGCCAAGTTAAGGGAAAATACATTTTTTTAAGAAAAATTGACATACTAATATAAATACATTTTCAATGTTTCCAGCACAGGGGCCGTAACAGGAGCCAGGGCCTGTTCTGCAGAGGCACTGCCCGTCTAGTACCACCTATAGTAAACTCCTTTTTTATCTATTTAGTTGATGTGGGGGTCTTTTTGATTACAAGTTGATTAAAACATGTTTTACCAATACAAAATACATTGATCTGATGTATTATATCAGATCAATCTGATGACGAAGTATCCACCTTGTTCAAAGGCAGATACTGATGTACCATTTAAACTTTAAACAAAAACTGTCCATTAAGATCATCCATTATGCACCTTGATAAAGATTTAAGCACAACCTGAACAAGTAAAAGAGTTTGTATAAAATTGTTTTTATGTTTTCCAACCAATGCAAGACAATGAAAACACTGCTGTACATAAATCTGTAAATCAAATTATTATAGATATTTGCAAAACACAACATCAATAACAACAACGAAAATATGAAGTACAAAGGCTGTTTTCTGACAGGATCAGTCGTAAGAAAAAAAACAACAAATAATAAAAAACATAAAAAAATGAAACAGCAAAATAAAAAATAAATTTTAAATGCCCTTTACTAAAAGAATAAACCTGTAAACACTCTGTAACGTCTTTGTTTTACTGACTCATATTAGGTTAAAAACATGTGAAGTAAAAAAAAATATGTTCTTTTTTGTTTTCCTTTAATCGAAAATGACCAAATCTCACAGAATCTTGGATCTGTTCCTGTTTTTTCTGTCCCAGTCCAACTCATTATGTGCGTACAGCATCTGGTTTGAGGAACAGCCTGCTGTGCCAGTAGTCTGGGTTGTCAAAGGAAGTGTTGCTGCCGGGCTCCCCAATGCCCGCACACACCTTGATGTATTCCCCGATCCCTGCACACCTGTCACTCTCCTCCCCAGGAACAGCCCTCGCCTTTGGTGGGAGGTTCTCATATTCTGGGAGACCCCACTCGCCAGGCTCTTCTCCAGATCCACTCATCTCTTCATACTCCTCTACCTTACTTTCTACAGCTGGCAGCACATCTGTCCCAGACACAACCCTACAGCTCAGCTCCTCCTGAACTGCGGCTTGTTTTTCAATGTCTTCTTTGACTAAACTCTCCGCTGTTTGGTTTGTTTCTAATCTATTCGTCAAAGCTGTTTTATTACCACCTCTCTCCAATTCTATATCACCTCCTTCTGAAGAGTCAGAGTGCCTTATATCCATATATTCATACTTACAAATCCCTCGGCACACCTCAGTTTTATGATCTTCTGATTTGATCTCCCTTATGTAATTAAGATGTTCCTCCTCCATTGTGTCTATTTGCTTTGCTACAGCTCCTTCACAAGCCTCATGGACTTGATTAGCTTTTGCACCTAAGAGTAGAGCTTCATTTTGTGACTCCATCACGATTGAAGATGTAGGAGGAATGACTCTTTGATGAAGTGGATCTGTAGTGTCATCGTGTAACGAGATGCTGCCGGATGAAGATGGAGGATCACCAGATTCGGTGCTCATCAGTTCATATTCCTGAGAGGGCTTTACTGCTGGGAGAAGCAGATTATTTTTCTTCTTTGAGTTTCTTTTCCCAGAACGAATTATTCTGGACACTGTGAGCCATAAAGACAGAAGAAAAAGTTTGGGTAAGAGGTCTCAATATTGTTTGGTGCAGGAAATGACAAGGAGACAAAAACAATCACAATTACCCCGCTAGATCTCAATAGATTAAAATATCATGAAAAATCATTATTGTATTGAGGCTCATAGAGATTTATAAGTGCCATTAATCATTAACTGATACATTCAACTTGTTTTTGGTTTCGATTATCTTAGGGTTAATAAGAAATAATTTCTCCAGAAAATTCTAATTTTAGATAAGACTCAAAGATTTTAAATATTTCATAATATAGAAATGTTACAACAAAGAATTGCCCTTCCACTGTAGATCATATAACCATAATAGTCGGTTATAAGTCCTTTGCATTAAAAATGAGGAAAGCATAATAGTTCAGGAAATGAAATAACTTTCAATTGCATTATTACACCTTTCTTTACTGATCCTATATGATGTTCTTTCTTAAACAAATAATGATAATATTGGCATTAAATTCATTGTTAGTCAAAGTCATCAAAACACAAAAATACAAAAAAAAAAAAAACAGAATATCACTCAGGGTGCAATGAGTTACAAATCTTATCTGCATTTATTAATTTATTAATAAAGTAATTATCAATTATTCCGTGGAGATGATGTAGATAAAAGGCTATTTTTCTTCTGGGTATACCTTACCTCGTTCTGGTGTTCCAGGTGACCCAGGCAGAACATAGCCATAGTGGTCCAACTCCTCCTCATCTTCCTCTGCCGTCCAGCCCTTGTAAGAGGACGGACTTGAAGCTGTGGAAAGCTTCCTGTGATGACTTACGCCCACATGAGGACTGCTCCTCTCTGAGCCAAGCCTTTTCCGTTGAAAGCTCTCAGTCCGTAAGCCTTCCGGCTCCCTGCCATTACCTCTGACCCCTGACCTCTCAGGCAGCGTTCGTACGGAACTAAGACGAGACCTGTGAGACCACAGCTGAGGCAAAGAAAGCAAAGACTGAATGAATTAATCCAGACACTGTAATGTATGCATTCTCACGTGATCTTCTAACATTGTCTGTTTGGCATTTCTTCAGACTTTATGCTGCTAATCAGATCTTTTCTTCAGACTTTGACTGAATGTACCAGACCAAGGCAGGTTATTGTGCAGTGCATAAAAAAAGAGCAATAAACCAATAGTGTACAAACAAGAAGAGTTAAGTCTAAAAAAGATATATCACAACAGAAAGTCATTACTTTAAGAAATAGGATAAAAAAAAAAATCTTGCATGACCTGAGATAAGCCCTGAAAGTCCTCCCATATTTCTACTTTTATTCATCAAATTTATATTTACTAGATTTTACTGTTTTTTTTTTTGTTTGTTTTTTTACAAATTTGTCAATACTGAAATCAAATGTCAGTTAACCTTTTTCATCTTGGTGTTTTTCTTAAATTCAGTCAAAAAGCCATGGGAACATGTCACTACGCAAAGGTGCAACGCTCTTTCAAACTGATGCGTTTAAAAGCAACCCAATTTGGGTCACATATAAAGTAATTAAAGAGCAGAATAAAGAAGCACAACATATTCAATTGTAAGCATCGCAATATCAATCTTTGCAATATCCCACTGCAAAGGGCTACTTGGGTGGAATATTATTGGTGGGTATTTTATTTTAGGTGCCCTTCACTCACACTCTGCATGCTTTTGATATATTTTTCTAGCTGGGTGGGTTCTAACTGCCCGTGGGAAAAAAGAGGAAAAATAATGTATTGGAAAAAAGATTTAGAAAAATCATCATCAGTGTTTTCATTGCTAAATTCAGCAAAATTATCATAATTCCTTGTTTTTTTTTAAATTGATGGAGCTCTGGAGTTTATTTGGTCCAACTTACCTGTTTATATTTCCTAAAATACACTGTAAAGATGAATACATTGCCTGGTTTCCTATACAAGTAATGTCTGAGTTAAAAGAATCAATCTGTCATTCTGTATGCTCTTGACCATGGCCAAAGGATAGTCTAATGGGCCAAATGGGCCACAGAGAGGCTACACACAGTGTGGGGAAAATGTCTAGGACAGGAAAACATAAGGAATAAAGTTATTTGTGTGGTTTAAAGGGGTCATAGAATGCAAAACAGAGTTTACATTGTCATAGATGAATAACGATAGTTCACTGGGTGAAATAGATGTACAGAGAAGTTCAAACCCAATCTCACAATTCTAAACTTCCACCATAAAACAGGCGAATTCAAACGAAACACCGAATTGACGTCAATTCGGGGATGTTGCCTTATTTGGTTCTGGCCTGTACTTTTGTCACGCCCTGAAATTGACAAATATTAAATGCAGTGTTCCAGGCTGCACAAAGACAAGGGAAAACTTTTACAGTCTTCCTAAGAATCCAAAGACTCAACAGGCATGGATTATTTTTGTGTATCAGAAGATCACTGCAAAGTTTGATGCTCAACTGTTCATTTGCTCTAAGCTTTTTTCTGAAGACAGCTTTCAAAATCTTGGACAGTTCAAAGCAGGATTTGCTAAACTTCTTTTACTGAAACGAGGGGCTGTTCCGACAGTAAGGCCATCACCACCGCAAGCTGTAAGTATGATTCTGTCGCAACGCTGTTGATAGCAATGCTAGCATATCTTTGGTGACCAGATTTGGGTTTCTGAAAAGGACGAGCTCACGAACCGAGCCGTGAGCTGCGGGGCTGGTCCGGGACACCCGGCGGCCGGGGACGGGTCGGGTTTGGACGCTCCGTCACCTGCTGGCTCCCTCCTCCCGTCTGCTGGAGTTCCCGGACCAGGCCCGGAGCTGACGGCTCGGTTCTACTGCACTGTAGTCGACCAAAATCCCGAATGATTTTGAAATTCCCCTCTGGACAGTTTTTTAGGTATGAAAATAGGACATGTCCAGGAAAAGGAGGACGTCTGGTCTCCCTACCATATCAACAATTTTGATGTTTCAGTGAGTGAGTGCTTGTTGCTATGATGCATCTTTGCTCAGCAGCTTCGCTCATTGTAAACCACCAATTAGCGCACAGCTCATCTAAATATTCATGAGTGTACCATAAAACGAAGAAAACTTGTTGTTGCATTCTGGGACTCTTAACCAGGCTTGCATTAGGGCCCATAGAACAGTAAATATTCAATTTTCAGCCCAACTTATGTTACAAACCCTATTCTGAGACCTTAAGGACCAGCACCAAATACCCTATATAATCTTCCTATGACCCCTTTAAATGTTTTAAAACCAATTTCTTTGCATTGCTAAAGGAATAAACTTGGGATTTCTTAGTTTGCCATACCTGGCGAATGCTGTCTATTGGACTTGGGGTCATTGGAAGGTATCCAGTTGGCCCAGCTTGAGATGCGCCACTCTGAAAATCAGAAAATAACCATGTTGTTGACTTATTATCAGTATTTCATTCCTATGTAAGGAATGTGTCTTCCTTACCCTGCAGGAATTTATCCTTGAGCGAGAGAGACTCCACGATGGAGAATGCTGAAGAGGGGGTGTAGTCAAGCCGTCATCCAGTCCATCGTCATCCGGATCTTCCAAATCTGCATCCAGAAGCCCTCGTTCTGACTCTCTTCGATGGATCTCTCCAGGTGGAGTGTCTTCTCCCTCCTTTAGCAGGATAACGGTCGAGGAAACATTTAAAAAATATCAAATTAGATATTTATTGATGTACCAGTAAAAAGCTGTTGAAGAGGAAACCACATTACAACATGCACCTTGATGACAAGATATCTGTGTGGATCTCTTGCCATTCGAGTAAAATCACTCGCTAGCTCTTTAAAGGTTGGCCTCACGTTCTCATCAATCATCCAGCCTAAAACAAAACACAAGAGCAACACATGGTCTGCAGAAGATTCCATTAGTAATCATGTGTTTATTTTCACACTTTCAGGGACTGATGCTCACATTTAACCATGACCATGTAGACATCAATGGTGCAGATGTGAGGCTGGGACAGTCGCTCGCCTTTCTCCAGGAGGCTCGGCACTTCTTGAGGCTGCACAGACATGTATGGCTCCGCCCCGTATGACATCATCTCCCACACTGTCACTCCTTTCCAGGAGAGAAAACATCCCTTTTATTTTCTCTTCCTGAAATTCACAGATAATCAATACCTGCAGGGAGGACTTCCCTCATGGAATAAACTTCCTACCGTAACTCCAAACATCACTCTGATGAGTGTATCTTCGAAACAGGATGCTCTCAAGTGCCATCCACTTTATTGGTGTCTGAATGGTGGGAGAGGAGATGCACATTTCTTAACCAGACAAAGAAAATATTTTTGAAGTGATCTCATATGAACAATCTATAACAACCTTTGTGTCTGTGTAGACATATTTCTTGTCATCCGGGTAAAGGAGATCTGCAACACCGTAGTCCGAGATCTGGACCTGATAGTCATTCTTCAGCAGAATGTTGCGGGCAGCCAGATTCCTGTGGACCATGCAGTGTTCCTCAAGGTAGAACATACCCTGAGACACAAACATGTTTGCTTGGCATTCAATCTAAGAACTTACTTTTATTATTGCACCAACAGGAATTCCAGCTATGCTTACCTTAGCTATCTGAACGCACCAGTTGAGCAGGCGCTGAGGGTCCAGGCTGTTCCTGTGCTGTCTGATGTGCTCCAGTAAGGAGCCACGGGGACTGAGCTGGGTCACCAGTTGGAGACCAGAACCAGGGCAGATTCCCAGCAGCCTTACAATGTAGGGGTGGTCCAGACTGCCTATGGACAGCATATGCTGTCGAATAAGGAAACACATTTGAGATATCAACAATATCAAAAAATAAATAAATAAAAATATTTTATATAATAGTTTAACTATGAGAAAACATTAAGTTCTGTTGATTGTGTTTATTTCATTAAATATTTCTATGTCAATGAGACTCACATCAGTGATCTCAGTGAAGGTTTGTCGACCGGAACCATCCTGGATTGTCTTTATTGCTACAGGGATCTTGACCGTCTCTCCCTCTGGTGTCCAAAAGCCCTTAAAAACACATTGTGTTTTAGAGCAAGGTAGTTCAACCCATAAAAACTGATAACAAGGGAAAAAAAAGAAAATGAACAATACCTTGTGCACAGTACCGAAAACACCGTAACCAAGGAGCTTGATCTTTTTCAGCTCTGACGGCCTCAGAATACGAGCATGAACTTTAGTGCCTTTTTCTCCAGGACCCAGAGGCTCAAAGCTCTGCCAAAAGTACAGCAATTATGTTCAGCTGACTCGAAAGGGCCTTGCAAAAAAAGAGATATTTCCGTTGCACCTTGAGGAATCTCAAATTTGGGGTGGTGGGGTTCATCACAAAGTTTAATGGAGAAAAAAAACTATTGCAAAACTGTAAAGTTAAAGGGAAATAATGCATTATTTTAGTTTTTTTGTTTGTCTTTACAAAAAGGCATGGCAGATGTACACATCACACAAGACATGGGCTGTGTCCGAATGTCCGCCATAACCCCTAAATCCCTCAATCACTATATAGAGCGGGGACTATATAGTGGACTTTATAGTGAACTCAGTCAACCTACCGTTTGGACAGATTATCACTACTTGTAGCTCTCCGTTGGTAACGTGACTCTGCCTCTGACGGTGCCTGCACCATATTTGTTATTTGTCTGGTAGTGACAGCCTATGGCGACAGCAGGTTGCTGTGACAACAAATCTGCTGGTTTAGTGACCATTGATGAACACTAATTTTCAAGGTGCATTGTGGGAAATTTCCAGTCCACTACTTTTTCATCCACTAGATGTTCGGACACTCATTAAAAATGGGGATATCAATATGTAGTAATTAGGGCAGACATTCAAACTCAGCCATGGTCAACCTGAACTAATCATGAATGTCATTAACTGGGAGAATCAATCAGAGAAGTATCTGGGAGGTCACTCATAACGCTACAGGTACTATAGAGGTCCACATCTTAGACAGAAAAATCTCCTTTCACAGGGATCTATTAGTCATGCGCTTTACAAAGGTTGTATTCATGGAAGAGTGGCAAGATTTTGTACAACGGTACAACAATTTAGAACAACGGTAGTGGCAGCATCATGCTATGGGGATGACTTTCTTTCAAGCTGGAGGCTCAACATAAACATACACCCTGAGCTAAAGTGAGATCGTTTATAAAAAAATAAATGAATGTGTTAAATTGGCCTGGCCTGAACTCTACTCTATTATCTGATAAGTTTTTAACAATTGAAAGCTGTTCAACAATGTACTACAGTGTATTTTATGTTGAATTTTTTAGTTACTATGTAAAAAATAAAGTAAGAATGTCTTAAGTGAAGGTGTTCCGAGCCTCACCTCTCCACTCTCCAGGTATCGTCTCATGGCTCTTTTGCGGCGGATGGCGAGGCCTCTGTGGTACAGCACTCCCAGGAAGAACAAAGCGAGGCAGAATATCAAACCAGCTGGAACTGCCAAAGCTATACCTGTGATCTGACCGCTGCAGAGAAACAATCATTAACAAACCCTTTACAGGAATGAAGAGATGCATGAACAGAAACCTAACCAGATCTTTCATCTTTACTGATTAATTCTTTTCCAGGGGAAACATTTAGGAAAATAATTTTAATGAGAATACATAAGCAGTTCCACTCTGTGGAACAGTGTTGTGGAGTGTCTCTTCATTTTAATATTTGCATATTCAGGATTAAAAATAAATGGAGGCTTTTAAACATGATGAGCATCTAATCAAAACAAAGACATCATGGATTAATTTGGTTTATCTGAAACATTGCCCCAAATCTTGAATTTAGAAATTAAGAATATTGAAGACCCTTTGAGGTAAAGACAAGTATTCTCTGACCATGTGGTGTTCTGCACTTTTTCTATGATCCTCTGCTGATCTACTGGCTCGCAGTGACCAAAAAGGTTGACCAGCCAAAACAGGGGTAAGAAACTAATTTAATGGAAACAGGGAACAGTATAAAAATATTAGTAAAGAAGATTAATTTGATTAGTTGTATAATGTCTTTCTGATTATTGATATCTATAGATGATCAATTAAACATAACAAAAGAAATGAAATGACATATAAAACTAAAGTACGTTTTTACTAAATGGTAATGGAGAGAGGTCCAGAGGGCTCTAAATACCAGATGTGTTTTTTAAATTATGGCCACAGGGGCAGCATCTGTAGCAGCATTAGAGAAAAACAATGATAGATTTAATTCATATATCATTTGTGCCTCTAAACAATATTCTGTTCTCCGGTTTTATACCTGTTCAGTCATTGGGGGACTGACACTCCTGTGTGTTAAATGCTTGTCACCTGCTTACTTGTAGGGACATGCTTTCTGCAGCACTGCACTGCAATTTATCTGACCCCAAAACAAGGATGGAAAAAGGAGGATACTGACCACAGGGGCATGGAACACCTTGGCTGCTTCAAGCAGGAAGAAACTTCATTTATAGCAGGGGTCACCATCCTTTTTAAGGCTGAGGGCTATTTCATTGGTACTGAGTCATAGGAAGTGCTACCAATGCTGACCTATGAACTGGAGGGCTCAGCATTCATCTAAACTTCATTCATAGTAAACAGATTTTTATTGCTTCCTTTTATTTCTAATTTTATTTTATGTACTGTCATTTTAAAATAGCATAAATGCTTAAAAAAAAGGATTAAAAAAGAAGCGCAACATATTAAAATTTTATTTCAAACTGAGTTGTTCTATTTTTAGAAGGCTGAGGCCCCCCCATGTGGCCCTAGAGGGCCCCAAGCAACAAGTTCACTGTTGTCATAATGGAGAATCCCACACATCCCAGAGTGGGGTTCTATACCCACCAGCAGGGGGAAACACTCACCTACTAACAGACATTACCGCTGTCTCTAAACAGTCGTTTAATCCTGGACCGAGGCATCTGAAGCACAAAATCAAAATCTTTCTCTTAAATTAAGTACATACTGTAAAAAATGCACTTTAATACATGAATGAAATAAAACACATTCCCACAGTTATGTTTAAATCTCAGCCTCACCCATGTGTGCAGTTAAAGTGACATGGTTTACATTGGCCATCTTTGTTGGGGTATTTGTAAATCTGTCCTCCGTGTCCATCATTTATTCCAGAGGGACAAGAGGACATGCAGAAAGGGCCATCTTGAAGGTTTTTGCAAACCACACATTCATTTGCGCCCTTCAGGAAAAAAAATAGAAGAAAAAAAGAAGAGTTAAATGAATCATGGTAAAAAAAAAAAATAACTAAAAGGATAAAACCAGCTGTAGAGGTATTTGTTATCGAAAAGGCTAAACATGAGAACAAATCAAATAATTTATGATTGGATACATATTTAAGGTAAACAGCAGATTAGTTGATAGAGGTAAACAAAATATATTTTTCCTATGCAGTGACTTTAAAGCCTGTTGGACTAAATCTAAACAAATATGCCATGCAAACACTAACCAAAGGAACATATTTGGAAAATGGAAAACATTAGGCTGCCGTACACAGGTGCCACCATCAGTAGGCAATGCAGGTGAAGTGTCTTGCCCAATAATACAACGACACTGAAAGCCGGAGCTTGAACTGACAAGATTATTTACAATATATTAGATTAAAATGCAGATTACCGCTCCTGTGCAGCTGATTTTTCCCCGCTGAGGTTTGCACTCCGGATGACAAGCAACACATTCTCCATCAGATCTTGCAAATTCCCTTGTGGTTCTGCATACATAATAGCATAAGGACAAGTGTACCTTCATTAAAGGTGCACATCTGTAGCAAGAATCCTCTGGAATATCATCTAAAAACTGCTGACCCAGATAAAAAGTTACAGCTTCCCACACATGTCCCTTGGCGGCTGTAGTTCCTACAGGTGACACACTGGTCAGGACCGGGGCCCCAGCAGCCTGCGTCTGAACACAGAGGATCGCACACATGTCCTTCTGCAACTGCACACAAAAGCAGGACAGATCGCTTTATACCTGTCGGCTGAGAGTTCAATTCCTTATTTGTTTTTTCTTCTAAAGGCTAAATGTGACTACTGTAACATGTAATATTCAGTTGCTCATAAACACAGTGTTAAAGTTTCAGGTTTCTGAGACCATGAAGCAACATTTAAGACTATTTCCACTATAAAGGTGTCATATATCCTATATAATCAGAATGAAAAAAAATTCCAAAACTGCTAAAATAAAATTAAAGCTTTAAAAAAAATTTGACATATTCTCTGAGTGCTTTCATTCCTCTTTAGTTGGGGTGTTTTATTAAGTCACCTCTTAATTTTAGTCATTTTTAGCTTCTGTGCTTTCCAATCTTTCAAGACTGTCCTCCCCCATACAGATATTTTTTGTTAGACATTTCTGAACTTTATCTCGATTATTTCAAAAAAGGTGAACCTTTATATGCATACTGCGTGTAGATGGATGCCTCAGCACACATGGATGCTGCACATTATTTTTAAGTTTGATAGCAGTCATCTGACATTTTTAGTTGAAGACTAATTAGTACAGTATTTAGAACTGTTCACATTTTAGTACCCGTATTTAAATTTTCACATTCAAGTGTCACTTTTGACATTAAAAGTGTCAAAGGTCTGCTGTTGATTTATTATGATGTTGAGTTTTTTAAAAACACTCCTATTCTAATAATGCTATGCACCCTAATTCATAGCTAAAAGCAACTTTCTTTGTGGTTAAACATGAGTTTTATTTCATTATGAGAAAAAAGAGAATCTCGCCTCACCACACTCTGCAAGGGGCTTGTTGTTGTTGAGGTTGTTGACTCGAACTCTGCCGCCTCTGAACAGCTGCGTCCAGTTCACAGTGTGCAGATAACAGAGGTTGGCATTCTGACTGATGTACACGCTGCCATCATTGATATACCGGAGAGAGCGCAGTCCCAGGGATGTTAGAGAGGGGATATGCATCACCATCAGAGAGAATCGCCTATTTTGGAGGGGGGCATTAAAGGATAGATTATATAAACATTAAAAAGGAAAAGAGTTGGAAAGTTTTCAGCTCTTCTGTGTTTCATGTTTGTTTGAGTTTGGACTAAAATCTGTTCGATTTGGTTTTACACAGATTAGTTGTTTTTTTTAAACAGGAAAAATCAAAAACATGTACCAAGAGCTGCGCAATTAATCTTTATGCATTTTAATTTAACAAAGTGCTTCATAGACTTTTAAATCTGTGAATATATTCTAATTACTGTCCAGCTGCACAATTTTATCTTGTTAAAACACTTAAAAGTGCTGTATTTTATTTTTTTTATTTTTAACTATTTTCATTATTATATTATTCTTATACACTTTTGTGTGACCCTTTTTTTTTCTATAATCCTTTTGAGGCTTTAAACATCAGAATTTCCCTATTGTGGGACAATAAATGGATTTTCTATTCTATTCTATTAATTTACTTCCCTAAATCATTCTTACTTGTACAGTGACCTTCCTTGAATAGTTCTGAGGCTTGAAAAAACTGAGAGGTCCTTCAGCTCTTTAGGCCACGACTGGATGTTGAGAATATCTGAAAACATCACAATACAAATTAAAAAATATGCATTGCTTGCCTAGTGAAAATATTTAAAATCAGAACTTACATGTCCTAACTTATATCATTTTTGGACAACCTACTGCACCATAAATCCTAGCAAATCCTAGTAATCAATAGTAATTGTAAAAGCTGATTTTTTTAACCTGCTGTTTGTCATTTCTTTTAACATGAACTCAAACATTCAGATAAGGTAATATAAAATATTCCATTTGTTACTTTTAGCAAATTATCTTTCCTTGTTATTGCTCATGTTATCCTAAAGAAACTGATGAGATGATAAGAAACCACTATTTTTTAACATGTTTTTCGTTTCGGTAAATTCTAACGATTTCCCTTCAGAGGTCCAACATTTCATTTGTTTATAAAACAATTCCTGCCACGACGGTGAGACCCAGTTTGTCTAAATTAGGTCCGAATTATATTTGGTTAAAAAATCACTTCTCAGCAGATACCTTTCATATAACAAATGATCATAGATTAAATTCTGAATGATACCATGCAGAGCATGGCATGTGTGAATTGCATATAGAAATAGACACAATGGTTTAGTATACACATATATACATATATGCCACACCTGTTATTTCTCTCACGGTGCGGAAAACCTCCAACTTTTTGGCATCTAATGGTGGGATATTTTTAAAGTCATCTCTGGAAAGAACAGACAAACATAACATGAACATCCTCTGAGTCTCTTTTAAGCCTGGAGATCCTTCAGCAAAAGTAAAGTTACCCAAGAATTCCTGTAACCAGGAAGTGGAGGCTGCCTTGGATCTTGGTGCAGTTAATGAAGCTGTCAATGTTGGTAGAATCCACCGTTTGTCTTTGCTCAGCACCGGTGCCTTCACACACTGCAGGGATGATTATGATTTAACCCCTCATTAGCCCTGATTACAGAATCTCTGGATTCTGTTTAAAAAATGCTTTAGCGCTGACCTTTTGGGCAGAGTCCACTGCAAAGCTCACACTGCCTCTGTCCCTCTCTCTCCACCTCCTTCTTGTTTGGAGGACAGACACTCACACAGGAACTACCGTCCACCACAAAATGCGCTAATGACAGAAGATGAGAAACATGAAGGAGTAGGATGTAAGAAGCCAATCAAGAACATGAGAGATTAAACCAGTGTATTATTTACTTAAACATTTTGCAAATTACTTACTGGGACACTGAGATACGCAAATTGATCCATATTGGTACTTTGCATTGGGATTTGTCTCCATTTGGAAAGTCTGTTTGTTGTAAATGACGTCCTTGGGACACTGAGGCACACAGGCTCCTGAATCATTGAAATGGCGACAAGCCTGAATGGGTTCACACACAAGCAGAAACATACATTTGACCTATTTGCACAGGCAATTGTTTACCTTTCCCGAACACCTGTTTTGGGTGAAATGTCAATGCAAGCAAATAATATCAATTTATTCTTATTTCACTGTATAACTAAAGAATCTAACAAATAACGACAGTGGTTCTGAAATTCATAAAGGATTTTTATGAAATACATAAAAGAGATCACAGTAAAATGATAAAGTCTCACAGAAAGTGTGTAATTTTAACAAAAGTTACAGCTTCAAGCAGTGTTCAGTGCTTGAACAGCTCCAAAACAGATTCAGGATACTCTCAAGTGATAATTAAATGGCCTTTCCATGTGCCATCTAATGAAAAAGTATTCTCTTATTTTCTTTCACAGCTCTGTATGTGAAAGAAAATAGACACAGCTACATTCTTTGCTGGGGCTGTTTTACGATCTTTGCAGTTTCATTCAACCAGGTCAGGTCATAAGGTATATATATATTCTTGCTGGTGCTAAAGGGGTGCTCTGGTTGGGAACTCCTGACTCCTGAAGCTGATGATCATATTCTTTATATTGCAAATTGTTTTCTCTGCACCAGTTGACTCTTTGATTGAACTCCACCTTATATGTTAGAAATTTTCATGAAGGCATTCATGTACTTCAGTATCTTCCATGGTGGGGAGTGGCGGCTTGTTAGGGCATTGTGCTTGGAATCCAGAGGTTCTGAGTTCAAGCCCCACTCCCAAAGTCTGCCACTCTGGCTCCCTGAGCAAGACCCTTAATCCAACACTGCTCTCCGGGCACCGCACAATGGCAGCCCACTGCTCCCCAAGGGGATGGATTTAAGGCAGAGAGTGAATTTCATTGCTCTGCACTTGTGACCGTGTAATGACATTAAAAGCTGGAAAGAATAAAAAACTGAACAGCTGACATAACCTTGAGAGAGTCATGTACTCAGTAAAGTTAGGATGTTCCAGATCTACTGAGACATGGTGGCGTCTTCCAAAAGAAACAAGATTTTGATTTTGCTGAAAGCTAGTCTGCAAAAAGGAAGGAAGGATCTGTGGATGTGCTACTTGGTGTAACTGGAAAGCAAAAGTCATTGAACAAGCTCTCTCTGTGCAATGGATCCTGTAAAGAGAGGGAGACTTACTCAACAGTTATCTTACTTGTTTTACAATCCTTCTGTCTCTAACCATTAGCAAGGACAAAGCCGACCCTCCTAATGAATATATCAACCAGCTTCCTCTCAGCTGCAAATAAGCTGCTGTACCAACACATGCCAAAAAACATTCCCGATGCTACCAAAGAGTCACCGAAGGTCTTTAAACTCCAGACAATCTCAGTATCCTCAGCACATAGAGGGTGTTCTGCTAAAACCAGAAGGATTCATAGCTCTGTGTGTGCACCCCCCACCCCCCCGTGCTGCAGAGCAGCTTGTCAAACACCTTCTGCAGCTGTGGTACTTTTCCCAACTTCAAACTGATGTTTAAGATGCATCCCATGATGCTAGAATGCTGATCTAAGTAGCATTTCAGGAAGCTAGAGCTCAATCAACCATACCTGCCACTTTCCTAATGATCTTTTGCAGCAAGGGGTAGGGCTAAGGTGTCTATGCTATGGGATCTTCTCATATGGAGCAGTTGGTTGAATGCTGAGAAACCAGAGGTGTACATTTTTGGCAAGAAAAGCAGATGTCAAAGATTAGGGAGCCTTTAAGGTTTGAGAGTGCAAGGATGGCTGGTCAAACTCAAGGAAATACTTATTCTCCCTAAGTGATGTCAATGATGTTGTTCTGCTGCAACCGGTCCATTTGGTTGTAGCTGTACTTTCCCCTATTTTTATTATTTTTCTTTGGTTCTTTCTGTACAGATCTCAGTTCTTCCTTTTCTCCTGACTTCAAGGACTTCCTCGTTTCTTTAAGTAATATTTTTATTGGGGGTTTCAGATTCCAGGGCTTGATGATGGAGAAATACCTTACTTTTATGAGGGGCACAGTGTTGCTGATAAAGAAGTTGATTGTCAATAATGTGTTCTGTTACTCTCTTGATGTTTAATCCATTAAGTATAACAGAGTTCTTTTTAAGCAGTGTAGTAGGAACAGTCCATGCAAGCTGCATCAGCCTCATCGTACCAATTTCTCTCTATACTTGTCACACTTGGTGAATCTGAGATTTTTGGCATACATTTCTTTATTGTCCAGTTGAATATGGTTTTTATCACAATATGTCAGACATTACCCCCCAAACACCAGACGTGATTTAGACATTGGTTTTTAGGCTAAATCTGGTGAATTCTTCTTAGTCTTGAATTAGTCCAGAAATATATTTATATATTTTAATTTGGCTGTGTTTGGTCGGTCTGATTTTGTCCCACTTCAGCCCAATAACAAACATTGGAAATGAAGGCTTATTGCTTTTCACTTTTCAACCAAATGTAGACATTGTTTGAATGTAAACTATGTTGTCAATTCTTGCTTGGTGGGTATGTCCTCCTTGGAGCAGATGTGGTGGAAAATAAACCTGGGACACTCTAGAAATCCATTAATGCTATATAAGATGTGAGGTTTACCTGGCTCCTAAAATTAATTTCCTCTTTAGATGCTTCACAGGTGATTATGGTTTGGGTAAAAGTAGATGTCACATATTTGCAATTATAAGAACTAGACAAGGATTAGGTGTGCTGTTAACAAGAAATTAACAACTGTATGAAGAATTTAAATGCTATGATAAAAAAGTATATTTTAAAGATAACTTATTTGTATTAAAATGCATGCTTTTAAATGAAGAAGACAAGAAAACTATTAAAAGTAGCTGCCTCCTCTTGTTAATCATGGAATAACTCTTATTGCTGCAAGGTCTAAAGAATCAAACGTTCTAACCTGAAAAGCAAGCTATGTTATGCAGCGAGGAAGACGAGGATCAAGCAAACCACTAAGTCCAGTTCCAGTTCTAAATGGATAAAGACATAATAGGAAATGGATTTAGGGTATGCTTATCTGGCACAGTGAATAGCACACACGTCGCATGTATGGAGGCCTTAGTCCTCAATGCGGCCAACCAGGGTTTAAATCTGTGGTCCTTTGCCGCATGTCTCTCCCCTGCTCTCATACCCTCTTTCCTATCAGCCTACTATCCAAAAAAAATGAGCCACTAGTGTAAAAACCCAAGACAAAAAAGAAGAAATGGTTTTAGCAGAGATGCACCAATTCATTTTTTTCCCCAATACACATGCTGAGCATATTGGCTGATATCTGATAACGATCTGACACAACTGTTGAATGAATTGATCGTATAGCTGTAAATCATCACTAGTTGCTGTGCATGCTCTGCATGATGATGTAATCAGCGTTGCAATCTTTGCATTAAAATGACTAGATTGCTGTTACTGTATGTTGGGTCGCTGTCATCCTATATCCAATACAGCTAATTAGTCAATATTAGAGCCGATATATGATTCAAGAATCTGATCCGTTTTAGTGTTCCAGTCAAAGTTCAGACTTAAATCTAATCTAAATGCATTGGTGTGACCTTAAATATCTTTGATAACCAAGCAGCTGAATTAAAACAACTCTGCAAAGAAGAGTGGCCAGTGGCCAGTTTCCTGTTGGTAATGCCAGGTGTCGCGAAAGCTGCCAGAGTCACTAAGTTATGAGGTTTGGGAGGCAGTTAGTTTTTCATTTTGAGCTGGTTGGTCTGGAAAGCTTTTTCCCTTTTTTGAATTAAATTTAAAACACAATTTGAAAACTCAGTTTTACATTTACTCAAGTGACTTTGTCTGATATTGAAAATTGTTATGACCCCGCCTCTCGCCAATTGACTGCTGGAAATAGGCACCAGCACCCCTCGCGACCCCACTCGGGACAAGCGTGTTAGATAATGGATGGATGGATGAAAATTGTTATGGTAATCTTAGAAAAAAATGTGAGTGGGGAAAAAAAAAGAAGAAAATCAGAAGAAACCAATAATGGTGAAGTATATTTCTACAGCACTGTTATGGTTTGTTGATGTTTTTTCATCTTTTAAAACTGTCTGAATAGTCAAGCTGTTGTTAAGTAGTCACAGCAACAAACTTACAAAACAATCCTCATCCAGAGGGCCTTTGCATCCTGCTGCACACTCTATGTGGCAGCAGTCCCTAGGACTTTTCCCAAAGCAGCGTCCATTGCACTGTGGAGCGCACACCATCTTTGTCACTGAGGAAACAAATGGCAGGAAGTTTACAACAGAGGTCAGGAATGTCTGCTTGTCTTAGTGTGGATATCGTTTACTCCATCTCCAGGAAGAGAACTATTTAATTATTTCAAAGAAATAGAGGAAAAGAATTTTAATAGAGTGAGATAGACTTACAGATCTGACACTGGTCCTTGTTTGGTCCCCAGCAGTAGTCACCACAAGATTTGTGACATGGACCTGATTGAAAACAGACAATAAAAATTTCGTCAAACAGTTGCAACAAAAAGAAACAACATAAAGAGCATTGGCTACAGTTTGCAAAACGTACCTCTTTCACCATTATAGTGGATGTCAATAGGAGCGCTGCTGTCCCGAACTATATCCCGCCAATAGATCCAGGGGCCATAACTCAGGTATTTGTTGTTAATAATCTGCACGCCACCCTCCAGAATCTCTTTAAAAGGACATATTGGAGAAAAAAAAACAAAAAAAAACGTTGCTTTTTATGCAGGAAATTTCTGCATGTTTATTTAATGCTGAAAGCTCATACTTAATATGAATCTGATTGATTTCACTTCAGATAAAACATTTTCTCTTAAACTGCAATATTTCCCTGATAATCTGATATAGTCCAATAACCTGTCAGATTAAGGAGTCCAAGCTGTCGCAGGCCGTTGGAACCTTCTTTGGGGTAATTGAATAAAACCGAAAGTGCAAAGCGTCTTTCATACAGACTGTTTCCTCTGATCACCCTTAGTCGCCCCAATGGAATCTCCTGAAAATGGTTCATAGCGATGAGGACGTAACCGGTCACCTCACGGATTGTCTGGCAAGTAAGAAAAAAAACAATGGCCAGTAAATCTACTGGTTTGTGTTTACTGTTGTGGTTCAATATAGAAAGTCATTTGATCAAAGTTGTAACACCAAAGCGGGTCTGTGTTTACCTTGAGGAAGGAGAAGTCCCAGTTACTCTCAATATTGGTGATCTCCAGGTTCCCCATGATGATCTCACAGCCGCTGTAGCGGCCCTTGATCAGGTTGTATTGATTCTCCTGAGACCCGGAGGAGCTCAGACCATTCTGCGTACCAGGACACACCTCTGGCAGAGAGGAGGAAAATTTCTTAAACTGACTAAAAAACAAATCACATTGTCTTACATAGGGCTTTGTTGACTAGAAATGAACTTTTTCATCAAATAATTAGCAGGTAATTTGTTTCCAACTGATACTACAATCATCAAAATAGTTCATTTTTGCTCAGTGTTTCGCAGCAGAGTAGATTTCTCCTTTATTTTTTCCATATTGTGTCTTATCACCAATACACGTCATCATATTTCTGTGATGTAGTTGACAGGAACGGAGAAAACACTTTCTAGAACCATATTTTTCGGCTGTTGGTGATGTGTTTTCAAAAGCTTTACAGGCTGAAGTTTTTGTGTATTCTTTTCAAGATAGTATTAACTCAGTCACACTGGATGGAATTGGCTGTGAACAAAAATAAGCAAAGTTTTATCACACATCCTTAATGGAACTGAGGTTCTGATCCTGACTCGGCTAATTTTAGAACATGAATAAGATCTATTCAAAATCACAACTATTGAAGTCTTTTTCACATCTCTCAGCCTCTTAAAAATCTTCTTCCAGTGTTGGCTGCATGTAGCTCAATCCAAGGGCAGTTCTAGACCAATTTTACCAGGGGGGCAGGGTGGGGCCAATTTATTTATTTTTTTCATGGAGGCATCGAGCAAAAGTAAAAAAAACAAAACAGGATCATAGTTCATCTTTTAATATATCAAAAGGGGTAAAAAGACGCGGACAGCTCTGGAGAGCCTTGTAGTTGATGAAAATTCCCTTACTATTTCAATACAGCTAAATATAAAAATGCAATACCTTATTTTTTAATGTAAATTATGAAACATATGTTTGTCCAATTGCCAGTTACAATAGATTTACCAACCTATATCATCATATTAAATTGATTTGGTATCATGTCTTCAGTAAAGGTACCATAACAGGAACTAGGACCGGTTCACCACTGGCATTGGCCCATGTTGGCCCCTGTCTTGGACCGCCCATGACTCAGTCTACTGTATCTTTCTATTAGTTGTCACCAGTTTCCCAGCTGCTACTGAAGAAAAGCCTTCACAGAGGTTAGGTTAAGTTCTACGTATAATCTGCCTAAACTATGAAAAGATTCAGGAGATATATGTACATTTGCTAGATATGTAACAGTGGAGGATTCATATTACTTAATTTCTGAAATGATAGTAATAGAATTTAAACTAATTAAGCCGTTTATAGCTGCTCAAATTGTGAGCTTAAGTCCTGTTTGCAGCATCGTTTCTGTGGTATGCTTTAAGGTTTTTTTCTGTTACTGATGCTGTAGGGAGACACTGAGTTTGATCTGAAGCAAACAGGCAGCCTGCAACTCGGGTGCAGGGAGCAGTCCAGGCCTGGGGGCAACGAAGAGAGGACCGACTGGTCAAGGCTTTTTTTCTCGGACAAAGCTCTTCATTGTGCCAAAGCTATAAAAGTGGACACTGTGTCTCAGTGAGCGAAGAGTGATGCTCTGACAGATAGAGCTTCTGTGTCTGTGAGTGCGCGTCTGCAGGGAAAGTGTTGCTGAGATCATACCAAGAGACAATGGCCCATGTGTGAGTAAGATGCTCTGGTGGAGGAACGGAAATATCATAAACGGAAAGAGACATGCACCACCGCCTAACGAGTGACTAAAACTGTATGTGTTGCTGGCTCATTTTGTACAAAGATTAGACACCTGCAGCAGGGAACAGGTCATGAGTCATATTTCCTGTTTTTATTTTGTACTCGTAGGTAGGAGCAAGACTATTCAAGCCGCAGTGACATGAAACTCCAAAGTTTCATGTCAAAGATGCTCATTTTAACCATACATACATACAT